TTCTGCTAGTTGGGGTTTAGTCCAAATCTGCATCCTTTCCTTCAAGGCTCAGGGGTCCAAGATTATCTTCTGTGTCTGTATTTATTGGTTTCCCTTTTCTTTGTTGAAGAGGGTCTGTGCAATCCTTCTGCCTAGTCCACCATCTTGCCCCGCCTCCCCAATAATTTGCCTTTATACAAAAAAATCACTGTATTTGGATTCTAAGAAATCTAAGGTGATAAAGTGTATTTATTTAAAAAGTACTGAAATGTACCTTAATTTTTTATCTCCTAAGTTCCACAAAATTTCAAATATGATAGCTCAATGGTAAACTTTAATAGAACCACTAAACTATGACTTTAAAAAACAAGCATGGACAATCTGGGCTCTCAGGCAAAAAAAAAAAAATTATCTTTTCAGATTATTACAGTGGATCACAAGGAGGCTATTACTAAAATATAATCAGTAGAAGATAGGAACATACCTAAATTACTGTCTATGAGAAGGAAAAAATCTCTTGGTTCATGGGAATGGAAGAGTGGAAGGAAAGAAGGAAGGAAGGAAGGCTGGCTCAAAATTTTAATCTATTTCTCAGGTATATAATATTTTATCATTCATTATCTTATTTTCATTTTCTTTTCCTTTTCAATGTCAGTGTCATTTTGATGATAATTTTTTAGGTCGCTGTTAGATAATAATAGCCTGAAAAAAACTGATAGTTGCTATTGTTTGCACTTACCACCATGAAAATCAGTTTACTTTTCTGTAACTGTATTAAAAAATATGTTTTTAAAAGTAAGAACTACCAACTGCAAATTTACGTATTTTTAAAAATAAAGAAGATTTACTTTTCATTCTACATATTTCTGCCGGCAAACTCTTCAATTGGTTACTGGAAAGATTGAGCCGCACCAGACTGGACAGAGAAGAAAATCTAGCAGGAACAGTTGTAAGACGATTGCTGGAAAGATCCTTTAAAAAGAGAGACAGATGAATGAATGAACAGATAAAATAAATAAATGGTCCCTAAAGGGCATTTTCTAACACCCGTGTGTCAGTTTATTGTACTGTGGTAGCTTGCATTTTCCTGTGATGCTGGAGGTCCCGTCACCAGTATTGTGAATTTTAAATACCAGCAGGATTACCCATGGGGGACAAGTTTCAGTGGTGATTCCAGACTGATTAGAAAGAAAGGCCTGGTGATCTACTTCTGATAACTAGTCAATACAAACCTTATGGATCAAAACAAAACATTGTTTGACTCCTTTGCTTTTGGTATATCATCACAATGGATCAATAAGTAAGAGGAGGACATCATTAGTGAAGTAGAGGGCAATGGAGACCCTTGGTGATAAGGACTGGCACAATAACCTCAACAGTGGACTTGAACATGCAAGCAATCATGAGGATGATGCAGGATTAAGTAGTTTTGTCTTGTTGTACTTAATACTGCCATCAATCAGAGGCAACTGGATGGTAGCTATCTCTCTCTCCAACCACCCATCCATCTATATATTTAAAGGGCATTTTAAATCTCAGAACTACTCCCTCAGAGGTGATGAGCACTTTAACTCTCATTCATTGACAATTTCATAGCTCACTAATCTCAGTATTATTTATACCACCTGTGGGCCTATGTGTATCCAACAGTGAGGGATTAGAATGAATTCTAACTTCAGAAAAATTTTAGATAAAGATTTCTGTTAATACTAAATCCAAAAAACTCAAACCCACTGCCATCGAGTCAATTCCAACTCATAGTGACCCCATAGGGTTTCCAATATAAATCTTGATAGAAACACAATATTGCATCTTTGTCCCATGCAGTGGCTGGTGGATTCAAACTGCCAACCTTTGGTTTAGTGGCTAAATACCTTGAGCACAGAACAACCAGAGCTCCTCTTTTAATACTTAAACCAAAAAAAAAAACAAACTCACAGCTATCTAGTTGATTCTGACCCACAGTGATCCCCTTTGGGTTTCTGAGGTGGTAAATATTTATGGAAGTAGATTGCCCAGTCTTCCTTCTGTGGTGGCTGGTGGGTTTGAATTGCCAACCTTCTGGTAAGCAGTCAAATGCCTTAGGCACTAAACCACCAGAACTCCTTCTGTTAATTCAAAGTCATGCTTTATCATGCATCGTGATTTCAGTGTATTGTTATTAGGTGCTGTTGAGTTGGTTCTGACACACAGAGACCCTATGTACGACAGAAACAAACACTGTCCGGCCATGCACTGCTGAAGGGGCAGGAGGTGGCATCTTCTGACCTCTAACTCCACAAGAGGAAGACAGAATCACCATCAGTAGCCCAAGACCCGTTCTTATGAGGCCAGACATGCTGCCACCCTCTAGCCCTCTTACCAACCTTGACACCAACTGTCCCTCTTGTGGCACTCACCCCATCTCTGCTGGGTTTGATAATTTGCTGCAAAGGCCACAGAGAACTCATATCATAGATTACGGGGTTTATTAGGGAAGCAACAGGTTACAATTCAAGTTCAGGAACACACTCAGGATACAGTTCTTTGATCAGAGCAGTCTCCCCTCTGCTTAGATACACCTCTCTCGCCCTTGCTCTCTTGGCCTGGCCTCTGCCCCCTATGAGCCAGGTAAGACTGCTGCTCTGTCTCATGCTTCTTGGTTCCACTACTGCCATTTCTCACCTAGGCATCTCTCTCAGCAGCATGTCTCTCTCAGCAACGTGTCTCTCTCAGCCAGTAGTCAGATTCCTTCTGCCTCTAGAAGGGCTCATTTTGAGCCTGGCAGAGTGGCAAAACCAACCAATCCTAACACCAGAGTTCTACATATTTGAGAGAGAGTGAACTTTCCCAGAAGATTACTTCATGCTGCCCCAAGTGGTTGATTTTAATAAGCAGTTACTCAGTTGCTCACAGCAAATTCTACCACAGAGTTAACTGCTAGTCTCATTATAGGGAATAGCTACCACCAGCTGCCCAGCGAAGTTGACACATATTTGCATAGTCCCACCCAGTAATCCGGTGGGAGTTACAAAGACTACGACTAGAAAAGCCAAAACATGCAACTCACTACACCACAGGCGTCATCCTTATAAACGCTATGAGTCCCAATATTGTTGCAGCCACTATGCCAATTCATCTCATTGAGTGTCTTCCTCTTTTTTTGCTGACCTTCTACTTTAACAACCATGATATACTTCTCCAAGGGCTGGTCCCTCCTGATATGTCTAAAGTACATGAGATGAAGTCTCATCATTCCTGCTTCTTAGGAACATGCCTGTTATACTTCTAAGAAAGATTAGTTTGTTCTTTTTGCAGCCTATGGTATTTTTAATATATTTTTTGCCAAAACCTTATTTTAAAGGCAACAATTTTTCAGTGGCCTTCCTTATTCATTGTCCAGCTTTTACAGGCATAAGGTGATTGAAAATATTGTGGCTTAAGTCAGGCACACTTCAATCCTCAAAAGTGACATCTTTGTTTTTTAACACATTAAAGATATCTTTTGCAACAGGTATGCCCAAGGCAACACATCTTTTGATATCTTGACTGTTGTGTCTTTGGGTGCTGACTGTGGATCCAAGTGACATGATATCCTTGACAACTTTGATCTTTCCTTCGTTTTTCATGATGTTGCTTACTGGTCCAGTATTGAGAATTTTTATTTCCTTTATGTTGAGGTGTAATCCATACTGAAGGCTGTACTCTTTGATCTTCATCAGTAAGTGCTTCCAGTTATCTTCACTTTCAGGAAGGAAGGTTGTATCATCTGCATATTGCAGGTTATTAATGAGTCTTCCTACAACCCTGATGCCACACTCTTCTTCATATAGTTCAGCTTCTCAGATTATTTGCTCAGCATACAGACTGAATAAGTATGGTGAAAGACTACAACCCAGATACACACCTTTCCTGATTGTAAAACCTGCAGTATTGCCTTGTTCTGTCTGAACAACAGCCTCTTGGTCTATATACAGGTTCCTCGTGAGCACAATTAAGTGTTCTGGAATTCTTGTTCTTCACAATGTCATTTATATAGTTGAATGCCTTTGAATAGTCTATAAAACACAGGAAACAGCTTTCTAGGTATTCTTTGATTTCAACCAAGATCTATCTAACATCAGCAATGATAACCCTTGTTCCACATCCTCTTCTGAATTCATCTTGAATTTCTAGCAGTTCCCTGTCAATGTACTGCTGCAGTGTTTTTGAGTTATCTTCACCAAATTTTACTTGTATATGATATTAATGATATTGTTTGATAATTTGTACATTCTGTTGGATCACCTTTCTTTGGAATGGGCATAAATATCAATATCTTCCAGTTGACCAGATAGTTATCTTCCAAATTTCTTGGCATAGTGTGAGCATTTCCAATCATTCATTCATAAATCCATTCATTCAACCAATAAATTCTAAGTACCTACAATGGATTAGGCATATTATGGGTAAACTGTAATATGAAATTTAAAATCATCTTTGCAAGGAAGAAAAATTCTTATAACAAAGAAAAACAAAGCTTGAAAAAAACGTCATTTCAACTTTTAAGGAAAAAATATTCCCAATTCGTTCTTCTGCTAACTTCAGCAAGTCTGCTTTGACTAAAACCAAAAGACTAGTCTATTTTTTGCTCATTCAAGCTTGCTTAATTTATCTTCACACTCATTATTTCTTTAAATTTTTATGCTTCTGTTTTTTTCTTTAAATAATTATGAGAGAACTTTTTTTGAAACTCCCTTTTGAAGACTGTTAATATTAGGATAAAGAACTACTTTCTGAAAACAGCCTAAGCAGTAAGGTGCTCTTTGTCTTATTAAAACAGTCAGGCAAGTAGGGACACAGACTGTACACCTGTCAAACTACCTTCAGGAAGGGAAGAGATATTATGTAGTCATGCATATTCACTGATTGCATTGATCATAACTACATCAAGGCCTAACTCATGCATATTCACTGAGATACCAATTACTAGGGAATTCTGGATTTTGGAATTCTCTTTGGGACTTCCAGGGTTAGTGAGAACATCCATGCATAGCAGCGGGTGTGGCATATCTTTTGGGACAATGGAAGGCTCATTCCAGAACATCTCCCAGACCTTGCCTGATGTATCTCTGTGCTTATATCCTTTCCGGTTATAATAAATGGGTAAATGGAAATACAGGTAATAATTTCCATGAGTTCTGTGAGTCATTCTAGCAAATTATTAAAACCACTTGGGGCAATGAGAGCCAGCAGAGAGGCTGGCATTTGTCCATTTGGCAGAGGCTGGAAGGACAGACTTCTAACTAGTAGAGACCTAACTCTGGAAGGGTAGGGTCAGAGAAAGGGCCATGTGGGTAGCTAGTTGCAGAATGAAGAAGTGGGAAAGTTAGGATATGTGTTATCTTCACATTTTGGAAATTAGCTTTATGTTGGCTATTCACTCAGTTGAAAATGGGTAATTTTTCTTACAATATCCAAATTAAGTAAAGTACTCCATTAGTTGAGAAAGTGTAAGGTAGGGCCAGTGATACCAAGAAGAAATGACTTACTAGATGGTTTCCTGAAGACTTTCATTTAGTCAAACATTAAACAACTGCATTCTATAGTTTAGGAGAAATTGAGAAGACAGAAAAAGTTAAAAATGCTGGATCAATTAATTTCCAAAGAAGATAGACTATCACTATCATACTCAATAATAGAGTACTTATTCTAATACTCCATCATTCAAAACATGGCTAATAAATGTTCTGTAATATCAAAAAGATTCTACAGGCAAAATATTGAACAATGCAGGAAGCATCAAAAGAAGATATAAGGGATACAAAGAGTAACTACATCAAAAAGAATTGGTCTATGTTCAACTATTTCAAGAGGTAGCACATGGTCAAGAACCAATGGTACTGAAGGAAGAAGTCCAAGCTGCATTGAAGGAATTGGCAGAAAACAAGGTTCCAGGAATTGACAGACTACCTACTGAGATGCTTCAAACAAACGGATGCAGTGTAGGAAGT